TCCCGTTCTCTGTATCGTTGCAATTTTAACGGATGTCCTTAGGTTGAATTTTATTTTTTGCAGCCAAGGTGTTTTGTTATCGTAGTTGGTTCTGTCCTGTCGTCGTTTGGCCTGTGACGAAGGGGGAGGGGGGGGGGGGCGTGCTTGCATGTGGGACTTGTCATCTGGGATCTGTCTTGTTTCCCTCTGTTCTATTTGTTTCATTTGGCTGCTCCCTTCCTCTCTTCTTTGCCTCTTTGCCTTTTGGCTGTGTGCAAGTGGGTCGATATGACACACGGGGGTGGGGGCAGCCGCTGCTCAACCTACATCCACGTGAGCGGCCTTGTACGCAAGAGGTTCTGAGCACGGGGAGTTGTAAGGAAGAAGATTAAAAAACGAATTCATTTTTTTTTTTTTTTTTTTTTTTTTTTTTTTTCGCTTTTGCGCTCTGATATTCATGTGACGATATATATACATCCACGTGGCTGGCCTTGTACGTAAGAGGTGATGAACAGGTGGGGCTTTCCTTCCTTCTTTTCCTTTCCTTGTTTTGCTTTTTTCCGCCTTCGCGCTCTGATTTACAGTGTGACAATATATATACCGTAGGCTGTGACAAACTGTTTCCTCGAAGTTTTGTCACAGCCCCTCGTTTGCTGTCCTCTTCTCCCTCCCTGTCGGCCGATGGTTTAGCGGGCAGCTCTGTTTGACTAGAGAGAGAGAGAGAGAGAGAGAGAGAGAGAGAGAGAGAGAGAGAGAGAGTTGCAGTGGCACGGGGAGAGAGGGGGGGGGGGTACAGGCGAACGGAAGAACACATAGCAAAGGCAGGGGTTGGAGAGAGAGAGAGAGAGAGAGAGAGGGGTAATGTGCGCAGTGCCATGTGAGAGAGAGAGAGAGAGGGGTGACGTGCGCAGTGCCATGTGGCACGTTGCTGTGTGCCACGTGTCTTCTGTCCATTTGTTTGTTCTCCTTCCTCGTCGTGGTGATCGTAATCATTGTTGTCCCCGTGCTCGTGTCTGAGCTTTGAGCGTTGTTATGTCCGAGCAGGTTGAATGAAGACGGCATTGATTGCTGGCATGGGCCGCGGTCCACTACTGTCCACATGCAGAAAAGACAAAAAATAGAGGGGTGTATCTGACCATGTTCTAGCGGAAGATTCGTTGTCATTTGGCACATTTGGAGAGTAGTGCAGCGAGGGCCTGTTCTTCTTTGACGTCGGGCCACGCTCAACCAGTCAACATCCGGAAAGTATCTGGACTGGGAAGGTGGACAAGATACATTTTGAATGAATCGGACCTCTAGCAGGTCCAGATGCATTCGGTATGCTGTGTAGTGGAGCGAGGCCCTTCGTCTCTGTTGCCGTTGTAGTCGTCCACAACTTCATTATCTTTTTTTTTTTTTTTTTTTCCCTCTCTCCTTAGCCAATGCGACGACTCAACGAGTGAATTTGTTTTACGTATTGACTGAGATAAAGTACGCAGGTTACCTGTCAATTTGTTTTTTATTATTATTATTATTATTATTATTATTATTATTATTATTATTATTATTATTATTATTGTGATTCAGGCGTCAAGGGTTGACAGCATGGAAGCGGGTAGGTGAAGAGCACCTAGACCTTTGTTGTCTCAAAGCAAATGACAAGGGCAATGCTGCTCTTTTTTTCGGTTTCTACCAGAGCAGCCAGCTCATCAGGGCACATGTTGAACATAAAATGAAGTTCAATTTGTGCGCCTAATAAAATCATAATGTAAAACAAAATATATATATAGATATCAGAGCGCAAAAGCGAAAAAAACAAACAAAGGAAACAAAAAAATATCAATTCATTTTTCATCTTCTTCCTTACAGCTCCCCCTGTTCAGAGCCTCTTGCGTACAAGGCCGCCCATGTGGATGTAGGTTGAGCGGCGGCTGCCCCCACCCCCGTGTGTCATATCCACCCACTACTTGCACACAGCCAAAAGGCAAAGAGGCACAGAAAAGAGGAAGGAAACAGCCCAAACAAAACAGAACAGGGGGCTGCAAAGCAAATCCTAATTGACAATCCTAGATGACAAGTCCCACATGCAAACACCGCCCCCGGCAACTACAGGCCAAACGACGGGACAAGACCAGCCAGGATGTCATACCAAAAAAAAGGACCCGGATGACCAGTCCCACATGAAAGCACCGCTACCAGGATCAACCAGGCAACATCCCAATAGCCGAACAACGGGACAAAACCAACAGGGACACAGACAAGGCAAAAAAAGCTCCGATCCGCAGTGTGACAACCAAAAAAAAAAAAAAGAAGAGAAGACAATCCCGGATGACGATTCCCACATACAAGCACCGCCCTGCGCTCAAAAGGCCGAACAACGGGAAACAACCAACCAGGATGCCAAAAACCCGAATGACTGGTGGTCCCACGTGAACGCACCGCCACTCCCATAAAATAGCCCGAACAACGGGACCAAGCCAACCGGGATACAGACAAGATCACCAAAACAAATTCTACCATATCCATAGTTAAAAAAAACGGAACCATACAATATATATAAATATATAATTTGTGCTCCTTAAGATAGTTGCTGACCTTGCTTTTTTTTTTTTTTTTTTTTAATTTGGACCATTTCTCGATTTATGCGTGTCATCCTTGGGCAGGGTCCCCAAGAACTTGTTTGCCTACAGTCTTCCCCCGAACAAAACGCACGTGTGTTGTATATGAATACAACGCACGACATGCGTTGTATACGAGCGTTATGCTACGGGTTTTGGGCACCAACTTCAGAAAAAGGGCTCTAAAAAAAAATCCGGTACACGCCCTTGTAGCCACGGGCCTGTCCCTGGGGCATTCGTCACAGTTGGAGCGACACACATAAATTGAGAAATGGTCCTCATTACAAAAAAAAACAAAAAAAAAAACAAGTCTCCAGAATGAATCTTCCCCTAGGAAACGGAATCATACACCCTGCATGTGTAGAGGGGTGGAGCAAGACTATACGTAGACAATAAGACCTCCGTCTGACAATAAGACCTCCACGCAGACGGCAATAGGGAAGCCACAGAGAGAGAGAGAGAGAGAGAGAGAGAGAGAGAGAGAGAGAGAGAGAGAGAGAGAGGCGTACTATTCGAATAGTACACACGTGCGTACTATTTGAACGTGCGTACTATTCGGATTTTCATGAGCTACTTCGAAAAATCGAGTTTTCCAGGGAAAGTTGAATAGTACATACGTGCGTTTTGTTCGGGGGAAGACTGTAGCTTTAAGTTAGTTGGTACCCCTAAGAAGTATTGAAACACAGACCCAAGTTGTACCTTTCCCGGCCTTTTGGCTAGAAATAGATCAAGTGCACTGTATGTGTCCTGTTCAGTTTAATATCTGATCCGTGGTCCATCGGAAATGCGAAGGAAAAAAAAAAAAAAAAAAAAAAAAAAAAAACAGACCCATGTTCGAGTCAAGATCCAACCAGATGTAACTCTGAATTTACTTGGGGCCGGTCTGTTCAAGGATGCTATCTCAAGGCTGTTGCCCTTTTAGGAAAAAAAAAAGAAAAAAAGAAAAAAAGAAAAAAAGAAAAAAAGAAAAGGAGATGTCGTTGCGATGTATCTCAGCCTGTAGGCCTGTTGATTGAAATAAAATATTTTTTACACAATTTATCAATTTCAAATTGATAAATTGATAAATTGTGCTAGACCCGTTGATTTCAAGGTTGGAACTTGGGAAGCTGATATACATCTTCCCGCGGAAGACGATACGACGCATCCCCATTTCCAATGTGCAAGTTGTGTTTTTGTGTCCGGTACAGCTGTAAAGAGGACGTTGGGTTAGAGAAAGAAGGCAGTATTCTCTCTCTCTCTCTCACACACACACACACACACACACACACACACACACACACACACACACACACACACACACACACACACAGTATACGCCTTCCTCGTTCCACTGAACGCAGCTCATCCCTATTATGACTGGATACAAGCTATATTTCGGATCCTGTAAAGCAGTGAGAGGGTGAGGGCGCATTGCGTTCGGTGCAAGAAGGTAGAGACAGAGAGAGAGAGAGAGAGAGAGAGAGAGAGAGAGAGAGAGAGAGAGAGAGAGAGAGAGAGAGTGGCTGGCATGTTCCCTGGACACAGCACACCCCCAGAACTGATAACAACAGTGAGATTCAACCTGAATTGAGCGTGCTTCCATGACTCTTGCGGGTATCTGCAGCCTTTCTGGTCAGCAGGCGGGTCATCAGGCCGGAAAGGTAGCTTGTATACATTCATGATGGGGTCGCTTGTTCGGGTCGCATCAGGACGGAAAGGTAGCTTGCATACATTCATGATGCGGTCGCATTGTGTTAGCGAGAAGAGGGTAGGTGGGCTCGGACATTTTTGGTAACCCTCGTAAAACCGTGGGCTTTTCTGCAAGTGGGCTTCTCCGCAAGTGGGCTTTTCCACAAGTGGGCTTATCCACAAGTGGGCTTTTCCGCAAGTGGGCTTTTCCGCAAGTGGGCTTATCCGCAAGTGGGCTTATCCGCAATATAAACGTAGGTGGCGACGAAAGTGCTCTGTTGAATTTTGGTTGCCTACCGAAGCTTGGAGACAGCAGGCGGCCACATTCATTTCATTCTGCGCCCCCCCCTCTTTCCCTCCCTAAAGTTACACATGTGTACCCTAGAGCATCATCTGCACCTGGATATACACATATTGGCCTGATGCATTCTCACGGTGGGTTAAAAAAAAAAAAATAAAAAAATCGGCAGCAGCATGAACATGCTGTAGACAACACACAAAATTATGAAATTGACAAATTGTTTGTTTGGGCCCTTTGGGGGCATTTCAAGCCGAAGGAGAAGGAGAAGATGATTGAATGCCCCCAAAGGGCGCAAATGAAATTGTTTGTTTGGGCCCTTTGGGGGCATTTCAAGCCTGAATTTGTTTCTAGATCATCATCAAGTGTCTATCTTTGCCAAATGGAGGAAACTTCTTTTGCTCATCATCACGCAACGTCGGTCTCTTTGTCTTTGTTTTTTTTTTTTTTTGCAGGTGTCGCTCGCGTTTTCACATGCAGGTGTCACGAAGCAGTCTGAGTGCGGGAACTTGGCGTATTATTAGCTGTGCCCATCCTCTCATTGGTTTATGTGAACTGAAGATGTTATGATTATTATCCCATTCCGCAAGCCTTCTTTGACTTTGAGCTGCATTTACTTGGTTGCTGACTTTGACTTTGAGCTGCATTTACTTGGTTGCTGACAATCCCCTTTTCCTCTGTGGTACTCACCGATCACGAGCTGAACGATCATCCATCTCATTCGAGTTGCAGACGATCCATTGCATTAAGTACCCCCCAGACTGCGCTCCCTCTCCCTCCTCYTCCCCCCCCCCCCCCCCCCCCTTGTCTGCCCCCCCGAGCATAATCTCCACACCGTCTGCAGACTATTAACTTCAATTCGGTATCGCGATAAAGGGCCATCTCACATATCCATGATATTATCAATCCCGCCTAACTCGAAAGAGACCTGGTATCAGGAAAGCACTGGCTACTTTGCCAGTTAATGGGAAGGGGTCCCCGTATCTGCTTAAGAGCGTAAAGAGCTCTTACTCTACACCGCCTGAAGCTACAACTTGAGCCAAGGCGTCGATGGGACACGTTGACCGTGTCTTTCTTGTCTGTCCCAACGTACATTGATCCAACGGAGGGCCACCCTCATTCTGTGCCATTTCTGTTGTTGTTCGGCGGCAACGGTTGCCGTATTCATGCGTTCGAGGCGTAATGATGTAAACGTCGTCATTATCAGCTGTTAGAGGTTGTTGATTCTTTCGACAGCATATTTTACGAGAATAAACACTGTCAATACTGTGAGGTGGGGTGGTGAAACCCGCAGGGGCTGCAGACGTGGCCTGTAGGAAGAAGTACGCTATCGGTCTGCGAGTGACATCAGACGGTGTAATTTGTCAGTTAGTTTGCTGGCCCGCCGGTTCTCAAGTCCAGAGTCAAGTGGTGTGGGAGAGAGGGGGGAGGACCTGGTCTGCTGCTGTTCAGGTAGAAGAAGAAGGAGAACAAGAAGAGAGAAGAAGGAAGCGGGTGGGTGAGAGGAGGCTGTCGCTCCGAGGAGAGAGAGAAGAGGACAGACGCAGTAGTAGTAGAAGAAGAAGAAGAAGAAGAAGGCGTCATGGGGAATACCTCCTCGCAAGAGACGTCGGCGAGGCGTGGACGACCCAAGTCCGGTTCTGGACCTGGCACAGGCCCAAGAACCAGGGTGAAAGGTCCCGGTGGGACTCCAAAGCAACCCAGCTTGACAAGTAATGTGTTGGGGAAAGAGACGGAGGATCTGAAAACTCTGTACGAGGTCACGAGGGAGCTAGGTAGGGGTCAGTTTGGAGTGACCTATCAGTGTACGGATAAGAGGACAGGAGACCTGTACGCATGCAAGACGATATCGAAGCGGAAATTGAGAAGAAAGGAAGATGTAGAGGATGTGATCAGAGAAGTGCAAATAATGCACCATCTGATAGGGCACAAGAACATCGTGGAGCTGAAGGGAGCGTACGAGGATCAGGCGGCGGTGCACCTGGTCATGGAGCTGGCGCAGGGGGGGGAGCTGTTCGACAGAATCGTTGCGCGCCATCACTACACCGAGCGCGCGGCGGCCGAGATGTTCCGTACGATCGTCCACGTGGTGGAGATCTGCCACTCCCTCGGCGTGATGCATCGGGATCTGAAGCCGGAGAACTTCCTCCTGAGCAGCAAGCGCGAGGATGCGGACCTCAAGGCCACTGACTTCGGTCTGTCTGTCTTTTTCAAGCCGGGACAGAAATTCACGGATATCGTCGGGAGCGCGTTCTATGTGGCGCCCGAGGTTTTGGCGCGCAATTACGGCCCGGAGGCTGATATCTGGAGCGCGGGAGTCATCCTCTACATCCTCCTCTCGGGAAGCCCGCCGTTCTATGCAGAGTCAGAAAAAGGCATTTTCGACGCAATTGTACAGGGTGATCTCGATTTCCAGTCATCTCCATGGCCTAGTATATCCTCCGGTGCCAAGGATCTGGTCAGAAGGATGCTCACCCAAGACCCGAAACAACGTATCACCGCCGCTGAAGTCACCCACCATCGCTGGATGAGAGTGGACGGCGACGCGCCCGACAAGCCGCTAGACAGTGCTGTTTTGACGAGATTGAAGAAATTCGCTGCTGCTAACAAGTTGAAAAAGATGGCTTTAAAGGTGATTGCGGAGAACATGGCTTCGGAGGAGATCGAAGGCCTGAAGGAGATGTTTAGGGCCATGGACGTGGATGGGAGCGGGACAATCACCGCTGCGGAGCTGAAGACGGGTTTGGCCAAGCAGGGCTCGCACCTGTCGGAGAAAGAAGTGAGCGAGCTGATGAGCTCGGCGGATGTCGACGGAAATGGGACCATCGACTACACAGAATTTATTGCCGCGACCATGCATCTCAACCGATTCCTGAAGGAGGAACACATCATCAACGCCTTCTATCATTTTGACAAAGACAGGAGCGGGTATATCACGGCTGACGAGTTGGAAGCTGTGCTGACGGAGAACAAGATCGGTGATAAGAGCGAGATCAAGCAGATAGTCCGAGAGTGTGATAGCAATAGAGATGGGAAAATCAATTACGAAGAGTTTCTCGCGATGATGAGAGGCACTGAGCCTCAGCAGCAAAGGCAATTCGTGTAAGGATAAGGGGGTACTAAGAGGATAAGGGGGTACTAAGAGGGTAGGAGGACCTCAGAAGGCTGAGGAATTTGCGGTTGTGGTTGCGGCTGCTGGGTTTGGGGGATGGTGGGTGTGCGGGGGGGGAAGGGAGAAGGCGTGGCACGTGGGCGGGGAGAAGAATACCACTGACAGTGTTGATTGGGTGTTGATTGGGTGTTGATTGGGTGTTGATTGGCACTTGTCGAGGCTGTAGAGGATTGGGACAGGGATGGTGGGTGTGCGGGGGGGAGGAGAAGGCGTGGCGCGTGGGTGGGGAGAATAATTCAAAACTGTTGATTGGGTTTTGATTGGTAATTGCCGAGGCTCCAGGGTGAGAAGGCGCGGGGGGGGGGCATTTAAAGTATTTGTACGTGTAAATTGGGGGACTGCTGGTGGTATTGGTGGGGGCACGTTTTGGAAGAGGACAGTTTTCTCCTCGTCCGACAAAATCTATTGTCTTTTCATCGTACTGGCGCGACCTGGGGTAGTGCCTGTACATAACAAGCACAGCCTCTCTGAAGTTGGTTGCCAGGTAGGTGATAGGTTCCCGCCAAAGGTGGTGGCTGATGATAAATTCCCGCCAAAGGTGGTGGCTGGTGATAAATTCCCGCCAAAGGTGGTGGCTGATGATAAATTCCCGCCAAAGGTGGTGGCTGATGATAAATTCCCGCCAAAGGTGGTGGCTGATGATAGATTCCCGCTAATGATGGCTGATTGATTCCCGCCAAAAGTGGCTGATTTACATTCCTGCCAAATCTAGCTGATAGATTCCCGCCAAAAGTGGCTGATTTTTTACATTCCTGCCAAATCTAGCTGTGATAGACTCCCGCCGACGCACTCCGCCCTGGAAGCTTTTTGAATCATGTTTGATTGGCCGAATGTCTTCTTGTTCTGTGGGCAGATACCTTTCTTACAGCCGTATGTGGGTTTGGTGGGGACCACTTGTCGTTTGCCACGTGGCGTCCCTGCGACGATTGCATCATCATCTCTCGGTATTCGATCCCCTGATGTCCCACTGTTCAGGTAGAAAATGTACGAGGGGAGGAGGACCTGGTCTGCTGCCGCGGTACTCTTCTTCTTCTTCTTCTTCTTCTTTCTCTGTTTTCTTTTCCCGACTCTTCTTGTTTTTGTTGTCAAGCGGTCAGATCTCCACAATAATAGTATCCCGATGAGAGAGACTTCAGGGGGGGGGGGGGGGGCAGGTGGACGAAGAGGAGAGAGACTTCAGGGGGGTGGGTAGGTTAAGGTATGGTACGGTTTTACAGCCACACTGCTCAAGTGGCATAGAGCGAGCTGCTTGTGTACTCGCACTAGCACCTTTTGTCTCAAATGTATCCGACCGCAATAACGGCCTGACCTGGATGAATCTGACCGCAATTATGTGCACACCAGTACTTGGAACTATGGTTAAATGCATGCTTGTGGGGGGCAGGAAAGAATTAATTATTTATTAATTATATTTTAGGAAGGCTGCCTCATACATACCTGGGTGTGTGCGTCATTTATCTATGTCTCTCTCTCTCTCTCTCTCTCTCTCTCTCTCTCTCTCTCTCTCTCTCTCTCTCTCTCTCTCTCTCTCTCTCTCTCTCTCT